GGAGACCTAAGTCTAAGAAGAGAAATTGGAGCAGGGAGAACAAGGTGGCCAAAACTAGCAACAGTAGCAGTAACCTATAAAAAGGAGAAGCACCTGTAAGAATTGTGACCAGCTTGGACACTATGCTAAGACTTGCAAAAACCCTTCTGTCACACCAGTTGTTGTATCTTCACCAAAGAAGGATGGTGGAAGACCATATTTGTACACTGACTGGGTGAATGACTAGAGAAAGAAGAAAGCAGAAAGAGCACTAAAAAAGGTAAACATATTGGTGTTTGTTGTATATGGATATGCAATGACAATTTGGGAAAATTTGACACAAAACCTAACTACTGTTTGTTTGTTGTTTTGGTTGACAGAGTGCAGTTGGTGGTACTCCTAGACCTAATAGTATTGCCAACAAGAAGTTCCCTCAAGAAGAGCACCAGAATCAGCAGCAGCAGACCAAGCAAAGTCAAGCTTCAACCAAAAACAGCTGCCATTACCTCTGCACCACCACCAAGACCACCAAGGGCCAAGTTACAACCTACTAGACTTAGAGACTAGATTATTTTACTGAATTCCGGTATTTTATACAGAGGATGTTGGGTGGCTAAATTATTTTGACAAGTTGAACACAGTTAGTTATGAATTAATTTAGTTTGGGTGGCTATGTTATTATGCATTTAGCTGTAACTTTTGGGATATGTTTTACAGTTGACAATAGCACTTGTTGAATGAAATATCAGTATTATTGCCTTCACATATGTTTGCTGTCTTTTTTAAAAAAATAATTTGCTGTTGTTGTATCAATATGCTGGAATTATGAAAGTCAAAGCAATCACAAATTTGGACAAAATAGATGTAGCAAAATAACTTGTTTATTCATTAACAACTAACTACTTAGTTTAGCATTATAATCAGCGATGCCTTCACTCCACCTCCCCATTAAACCAGTTTATTGAGTACAAGACAGCCTAAAACCAAAAGAACAGAACACAAAACAACTAAAAAAACCATGAGCTTGCTGTGAGAATTGCCATTGCTGTTGATCATCTTCTTCCTGTCACCACTTAGAGCCTTGCATTTCAGTTTCAAAGTGTCAACCTCATTAGCCAGACATCTTCTTTGGCCAGTCAAGTCATCCACCTCCCTTTTCAATGAGTTCACTTCAGCTATCATCAACTTCTTGTCAAGCAACAATTGATTGATCACATCTCTCTGCCAGTCACTTCCATCATCTATGTCAACCCATTCAAAACACTTGCAGCCCCTAGTTTCAGTGTTAGGGTCATAGAATTTGCAAGCCCTAAATTTCCTCCTTGGGTTGTCCCTGGTCCAAGATGTCAACCTTGCAAGAGGCAATCCACAATTACATTTCTTCTGGTATGTGGGAGATGAGTTATTCTAGGACATCTTCCGACCTGCAATTAGCATAAAATATGTCAATTCAACTAACCACTTCCAATGAACAAGCTGTTATACACATCAAACTCAAGCACACCTAGTCACTGTGGTGGTTGGCCTCCATAATGAGGATAACCAGGTGGTGGCCATGTCCCATTTTGTTTCATCCTATACTCCAAGATTAAGTCATTCAAGAAACCAGGCTCATCAGTGGTGCCAACATGTATGGTAAACATGTCCTGATTAGGAAACCTCCTAAACATCTTGAGCAAGTCACCTTCACCTTCTAAAGTCCAATATTTCCCTTGTAAACATACTGAAATGTGGGGTATAAGAGGTCTACTGATCCTTCTACTGGATCTTCCATTTCATGAAGTCGATCTTCAAATTCTATTGCAGTATCCATCAAGCTACTTTTTCCTACTTCTACTTCAATGTCAACAACAAAACACAAGTACTTAAATCTCAAAACCACCTTATCCTCATCCATTTCTGCGAGAAGAATTCCAACAACAAAAAGCAGAACTAGCTTACAACATGATCCAATCAATCATAACAGTACATAAATAAACGATTTTTAAACACAATTACACAAATGTTAACTCAAATTATCCAAATTTTTAGAAACCCCAATTCATTAGTAGCAGGTACCCTAATTGTGGGAATACCCCAAATAATTTGTGCAAAAACAAGAATCCTAATTCAAAAATTCCCCAATTTTCCTCAATTATAATGTACGAAGAACCCTAATTTTCAAAGAGAATTGAGCATACCTGATTGTGAATTCATCTTCTGCAGTTCTTGGGGATTCGTCTTCAAATACAAACTAGCTAATTCTGTGGAATTTTGGGGGAAATTGCAGTAGAAACGCCTAATTGATTTTGAGGAAGTGTTTTATAGGATAATATGGAAGGGGAAACTATTAGAAAGCTAGATATAGCCGTTAATAGCCGTTAGGTGGGGCCCACTGAAGGAAAAGCCATCGGAATTTTGAAAAAGGTGGGAATCTGAGTAATTTTTTAATTTAAGGGGTGGTAAAATAAAAATAAAAATTAAAAGGGTGGTTATTTTGAAAAAGGTGTCATTTTTGGGTGGTAATTTAAAAATTTTCCTTAGAAAAATAGACCCATCAATACGAACAGAGGGAGTACCGTATTTGAAAAAGTATTGAATTCTAGTGTCCCAACTGTGGTCCCACGTCAAATCTAGATCAATAGCATAAAGCCATAAACTTTCTTGCTCGACTGTTGGCCAGACAAATTTCTATATTAAAACCACAAACCAAATAAAATAACCACCATAAAATCCACTCTTGTTGGCTCGTTACTTTGTCCTTGTTCAATTCTTTTAATAAGGAATAAAAATTGCAACAAACGACGAAGACCATGATACACTTGGCTACTCCTTTAATTATACGGAATAGCGCACAAAAACGTGGTTGCTATTCTATTTCCTAGCACCTTCTAATCACTTTGGCCTAACAATTTTAGTCCCTAGTCTAACTTCTACATTATCAAACACCAATTACCAGTACAAATTTCGCCAATTCCATTAAAAATCTACACTTCCAAAAATCTTCAAGAGGCTTCGAATCGAGTCCAATCGACTCGATCCGATCAAAGAACACAATAAGACAACAACAACAATCCGGGATCAATCGATACAATACAAGAAAGGGAAAAAAAATGATGGAACTAGCACAAGATGAGCTGAAAAACTTTGGAAAGGTATGGCTATCAATATTTGTGTCATTAAACTATTGTTATGTTATAGGCAAGATTACACCAAAGGGTATTACAAGATTAGCAGCAATAATCCCAATAATCACACTTTTTCTAATGCTACCATTAAATCTTACTTCTATTCATTTGTGTGGATTAACTGCTTTTTTCATAGCTTGGCTTGCAAATTTTAAGCTCTTGCTTTTTGCTTTTGATAAACCTCCACTTTCTTTTGATCCTCCCATTTCTTATCCTCTTTTTCTTGCTGTTTCTTGCTTACCCATCAAAGTTCAACCTCCCAAAAACTCACTAAAACAAGAAAATAACCAAAACCCAGATCATAAATCACAATCTCATAAAAAATCCCAAAATCCACAAAAATCACAAAATATTACTCAAGAAAAATCCCAAAACCCACAAAAATCACCATGGAATTACTTCTCAAAATTTGTTCTTTTGGTTCTAATAATCAAAATTTATGACTATAGTGATCAAATAATGCAAATTCATCCCAAAATCTTATGGCTACTATATTTTTTCCACATTTATTTTGCATTAGAAATATTTTTCGCAGTTGTTGCAAAGTCAGCAAATTATTTCCTAGGATTAGATTTTGAACCCCAATTCAATGAACCCCTTTTATCAACTTCTCTCCAAGATTTTTGGGGCAAAAGATGGAATCTCATGGTAACCAGCATTCTTAGGCCTACAGTGTACCTACCCACACGGAATCTCTTCACCCGAATCCTCAGCCGTGATTTGGCAACACTTACAGCTGTGATGGCCACTTTTATTGTATCCGCGTTAATGCACGAGATAATATACTATTATATTGGGCGCGTGGGTCCCAGTTTTGAGGCCACGTGGTTCTTTCTGATTCATGGATTTTGTCTTTGCGTTGAGATCACGGTGAAAAAGTATGGAAGAGAGAGAAAATGGTGGGTCCCACCAAGGTGGTTGTCCGGCGGTTTAACGGCGGCGTTTGTGGTGGGGAGCGGGTTTTGGTTGTTCTTGCCGCCATTGTTGAATGCTGGGTTGGATTCGAAGGGGCTTGAGGAGTACGCGGTTGTTGGCGCGTATGTTAAGCGAGTTATGGGTTTAGATCTTTAATGGTGCCACATTGTATGGAAATTAATTGAGATTTGGTGATTTGTGGATTTGTTTTTCAACTATAGATTTAACTAGTACAATTTTGATTTTTTTTTAGTGGGAAGTAGTAGGAATTTATTATCAATGTTTATAAGATTGCAAGAAAGTTAGAGAGTTTCACTTTTTGTGAAGTTGATTTACATATATAAAACTATTGATGTGGAATTGATCTAAACATTTTATACTTTTATGTCTAATGTCAAGTTGTCAACTTATCTTGATTGATTTGGTTTGAATCTTAAAGTTTTGGGAAATTTTTTAATTAATTAGAATGATACGTGTCATTACTAGTTTTGCTTTTAATATATAATTATTGATTAATTTAAATAATTAATAATTAATTATTACTTATTAATCCACCATACAAATTTAAGCGATGCTAAAAATTGGGCTGCACAAGTTTATAGCTAAACTAGTGGGTAAGTGGGTTTTGGCAATTGGCGCAACAAACTTTAAAAAGCTATTGGTGAATTCGTATGAATTAAATCTAATTTATTCTATCATCATTGGATGAATTTAGACAATAAGATAGAGCATTGGTTTTACTATAACTTTTTTTTTTCTTTTCTTTTCATGTTGCAAGTCTTTTTACTATAAACCCACCTACATACTCAATATATAAGAGGGGTATAACATATAGTCAAAGATTCGATCCATTGTCATCCCCAAAAAAATACCAAATACGAAGTATATGGGAATCGAATGACAGTGAAATTAATTCAATTCACTACCTGGCTACATCGATCATTCCATGTGGTTGACAATGTTGTCTTCAGTCTCTTCGAACTCTGGCTCTTCCAACGCTTCAACATCTAAATCTTTAAAGCGATAAAAGCATACCACCAAAATGTAGATAACAAGATTTATTGCACTTAGTGCAGCTAATACCCAATAATACTTATCTAAACGGCTCTTGTTCAATGTGCTTTGGAACCAATTTATCCCACTAACCTTCCTGCTAACCCTTCCAACAACATAAACAGAAACAGCACTCTCTATATACCCGGTTCCGATTATACTAAGGCTGATGAAGTTAAACAACCCGAGCATAGAGCGAGGAGCTTGACCAACTACTAAATTCGGAACACTCCATTCGCGAATTCCATCTAAGGCACCAAGCAACGCGAATTGTGGTAAAAGCCAAAACATGATCATAGGTACTCTTTCATCTGGTTTATAAATTAATCCATGACTTTTTACAATTTCAAGCCTTCTTGCCTCAACTTTTGCTGCAGCAATGCAGCATAGTATCGAAAACACCATTGACACGGCAACTCCTACAGGAGAAACGTAGCGTACGCGTGATAGTTTACGCCCAACAATTTTCGTAGCTATCATAACAAAGTACTTAGAGAAGAGGCTCTTAGCTTGGTCGTAGAATCCCAAGAATTAGACAAGAGGGACTTTGATGCGTCCTAATTTCGGGTTCAATGTCGTTGCCTGTTCGAGGAAGTATGTGTCGCCGATAGCCGATATCACTCCGCCAATTAGTAAGGTAACCTACAAGGGAATCGAACGTACGAGAGTCTTGGTTGCCTCCACTTCTGTTACCCCGCAAAGCCTCCATCTATGTTGTTCTTGTTGCTCTAGATTTGGTTGTGGTAGAATTATTGCAGCATTGTCTAGACACCTACATTAAAAGAATCTTGTACATTACATTTATTAAGATAAATGAGTACTATAATACTTCCTCCGTTTCTTTTTAGTTGACATGTTTCTTTAGCTACGTTTGCCAATATACAAATTCAACAATTAATATCTTTAATTATCGATAAGTAAAAATTATGAAAAGTTGATATTTTGAAAATATATATCGTGAATCTAACAAGATCCCACACAACTATATTTTTTATTACATATAAAGCACGAAATACAGTCAAAGGGGAGTGTGTAAATAGTGCTAAAATCAAAATGTGTCAACTTTAAAAAAAACAAAACGGAGGTAGTATGTATGTACAAAAGTTTCAATTTAGTGATTTAATCATTATAACCTAATTAATTTTTCATAATCATTTGTGATCTTGTTGTATGTCATAATTTTAAAATTGTTTCAAGCTAAATCAAATTTGGGTTACACACTGTATAATCATGTACGAAATTCATTATTTTTATACGAGCCAAATTTTGAGTTAAGTCAATTTTGAACATCTGTCAGATCATTTATTATAACTTCACGAGTCATTTAATAAAACTATGTACTTAGGTACGGTTATTCTTGCATGATATAACATAATATAGACCGTATAAGGATAAATAAATACGGGATAAGGCTAAAGCACAATACCTGAGAGCCTTGGTATGAGGCATCAAAGCAACATTTTCATCGACATCACGTATCTCATAAACCTCATTCTCATCTTGTGGCCTCCTACAAGCGATCTTAGACAAGGCAGCAATAAACACCCGAAAGACAGTAGTTAGGGGGCTTCCTCTTGGTCCAACATACTTGTACAAGCAAACGCCGCTCAAGAAAACAAGAAGTGAGGCCAATGCAAATAAGGCACACACGCCAAACTGAACTCCCCATGACTTGACGAGGGAGACAGCAATAATGAGTCCGATAATCAGAATCTAAACGCCCATGAAACCGCCTAGTATGGGACAACACATAGAGCCTGGTGCACTTGAAAGGATCCTAGAGAGGCTAAATGACCAGCGATTCCAGCAGCTATTAGGACCAATGCTGCGTAAAATAGTTGCTTTTTGTTGCTCTCCTATGCATTCAGGCTTGTATTCTGTGCAATTATTGCTTGATTTTGCTAGGACTGCTGGGGTTGACATCCATAACAGCCCAAGTCCCTACATTATGATTGAATCAATGAATAATTAATTATATGATCACCATGCATTTCTCTCTTTAAATTATAAACTAGGGGACATCTCAATAGTTGCCTCGTATTTTTGCCTTTTATATATCATTGGTAATCATTTACCAATGATAAAAGTTAAAAATGCACCGAGCTAATATTGAAAATTTCCCTATAAACTATTTCAATGAGACAAACATAAAATGACAAGAGGTGTGTGAAGTATTTCTCAACCAAAGTTGAAAATTAACGGATATCAAATTAATTCCTTTTATGAATTGATATAAGCTTCTGTAGTTTTGTGCACACGTTTTACTGAAAAGTAGCTAGGACATGAGGACAAATATTTCATTACTTAATCATATTTTCTTACATTAATGTGTGCAAAAATAGTAAATTTTTTTATTAATTTTCTTACATTAATGTCTGAATTTTATATATTCAAATAATATAATTTTCAGACAAAAAATGATGAATTAAACAAAGCCTAAGAAAGAAACTTAAAACTTACAATTGAGTAGGAAAGACTGGTAAGGAGTACGATACAAAAGTTGCCAAGAAAAGCTTCGGCAAGATAGACAAATACAAGAGGCAATACCAAAGCTGAGCCTCTCCATATATTGATAATTGCAGCAGCATGTCTGAAATCAAGCTTCCAAACATCGGTCAAGTATATCATCATCATCATCCATAGTACATAGTATGCGAAGAAATCCGCCCACAATATACCTGCATTCATCATAAAACATAGACATTTCAACAATATTGTACGTGATGAAAATATTCTTATATACATCATCAGGTGAGCCAAAGTTTTCAAAGTTTGATCAAATGAATAGTTAAGTACGAAGCAGAACATCTATATATGGGACGGAAAAATAGACAAGAGTAAGATGCATGATAGATAGTGGGTATGAAACTATTACCTGTCATCCGGAAAATTGATGCCATGAATTTGAAATATATCAACGATTATTGTTTCTACTGAAAAATATGCAACATTATGATATGCACATTAAGCATAATTCAAAAAACTTGAAAGATCCCGTCCAAAAAAAAAATAATAAAAAAAAACTTAGGAAGATATATGGAATTGATCCAAAAACATAATTACAAAGTGTTGAGCCTTTTGGTTTTGATGGACACATTGACAAACTCGACTAATGAATGTTTTGAGTCTTTGGTGAATAAAGGGTTCAAGCAAAGTTCGTTCCGGAGTAGGAACTTGGATGCGGAGTAGCATTCTCTAAAAAGCCTCATGCAAATCTCACGTTCTAGTTTTAATTGTGAGCACTCAATAATATAAAGTCGGAAAGGAACTCAATGACTTATGTTATTAAAAAGACTACTGGAATAAAAGTTAGTTTTAAAAGATAATTTCTTAAAGAAAAGATAATTTATAAAAGTTTTATTTAGTCATCTATTTTCGAATAAAGATAATTATCGAAGATAATTATCTAGTTGTTTTAATATAAATAATTAATTTATCTTTTCAAATAAAATCTTTTTAAACAAACTTTTGATAATCTTTTTAAACAAACTTCTCATAAAGTTAGCAAGCAGTTTTGTGTGTGAAAATCTCTGATTATACGGCTAATGTTTATCAAGTTGTGGAGATAGTGGATTAGTGAGATAAGGCTAGGAAACCTCTTCATGATCACCATCTGTCAAGATAACTCCACAAGTTGTTAGTGGGGTGTTGGCATGTGGACGTGATTATAGTGGAGGTTAATGACTAAGCCTTCTCTATAAATACTCATGCAAACTATCTCAGCAAAACATAACTCTTAAGCATAAAAATTCCAGTAGCCATCTAATAACATAAAGAGAGTTATTTTCCTTCATATATTCTTGAGTGCAATAGGTATTTGTAATCACAGATTGTATTCAAGTACTTTGGGGTTTGGGATTGTGAGTTTTTGTAAAGTGAGGTCAAGGAAGCTTCGCTGCTGAATGCTTCTGTGAGAGTTGGGAACAAGTTCCTAATTTGTGGAACTTGTTAACGGGTTTGAATCTTCACTTGTAAAGAGTTTGATTACATAGTGGAAATTTAGAAAAGCCTATATCTTCTCTCGTCATTATTTCATTTAGTTAAATTCCGCAAAAAGTTTTTAGATTTCACCTCAAATACAATTCACCCCCCCTCTTGTATTAGCCGGTTAGACTTTCAGTTGGTATCAGAGCGGGAACTCAGAGCACACAGGCAACCCTGTTGAGTGAGTTCCTGGGAAAATGGCTTACACAGAGGAAAAGGAATTCGGGAGTACATCCATTCAAAGGCCTCCATACTTCAACGGCAAATATTATCCTTATTGGAAGGATAAGATGGAAATCTTTATCCAAGCAGAGAACTATCAGGTATGGCGGATTATACAAGTAGGAGATTACGAAATTACAAAAACGAATGCTAACAATGAGGTAATCCCTAAACCTATGGATGAATATGAAAAAACTGATTTTGAAAAACTAGAAATGAATGCTACTGCCAAAAAGTTTCTAATTTGGGGACTTGGACCCGATGAACATACTCGTGTCAAATGGTGCAAATCCGCAAAGGAAATTTGGGATCTTCTGGAAGTTACACATGAAGGAACGTCAGATGTTAAACGTTCCAAAATAGACATTCTTTTGTCTCAGTATGAGCGCTTTGAAATGGGAAACAAAGAATCCATTAAAGACATGTTTACTCGATTTAAAAGTATTATTAACGAACTAACGTGTCTTGGTAAGATAATTCCTATAGATGAGCAGGTCAGAAAGGTCTTAAGAAGTCTTCCAGACAATGACAGATGGAGAGCAAAGGTTGCAGCTGTGCAGGAATCAAAAGACTTCACCAAGTTCAATCTGGAACAGCTTGCGGGTTCCTTCATTACCCACGAGATCCAGTCGAACAATCGGACTCAGGAGACTGTCAAAAGTCAAGGGCTAGCACTAAGAGCTAATGAAGAATCCGAAGAGAAGTCTGACATTGATGAAGAAGAAGCTGCAATATTGGTGAGAAGGCTGAAAAAATTCTACCGTAACAACAAGTTTTTAGACAAGAAGAAAGGATACAGTAAAAGAAATCAGGAATCCAAAGCCAAGTCTTCTTGTCACAAATGTGGAAGCACCAACCACTTCATCAAAGAGTGTCCATTATGGGAATCTGAGAAAGGCAAGGGAAAAGAAGCTGATCAAAACAGAAACTCCAAGCCTAACTTTTCTAAAACAAATTTCAGGAAAGCAATGATTTCCACGTGGGGAGAATCAAGTTCCGAAGAAGAGGAACAGGAACACACAGACGATGAAGTAGCCAATCTCTGTCTAATGGCAAAGCATGATGATGAGGTACTCATTCAACCTAGTTATTTGAAATCTCTCTCAAAGGATAAGTTAATCTCTTTATTGTTAGAAACCTTAGATGAATATAAAGAATTATGTGCAAAACTAAGGCAAGCCGAAAAGGCAACTGAAATTTGTAGAGATCATGTTAAGTATCTGAGTAGCTTAAGAAATGATGTTCAAGGCAGATTCTTTGAATTGTTAGATAAA